GAAAGAAAGAAAGAAAGAAAGAAAGAAAGAAAGAAAAAGAAAGAAATTAATTTTCATCATGCCTTCCGACTGCCAGTTGGTGTTTGTGGATGCTTTCTGTCAGTCTTCTGCCTTGTTGTAATTCTTACATTGTATGTTCTGGAAGGAAGGAAGGAAGGAAGGAAGGAGAAAGGAAAGAAAGAAAGAAATTTTCATCATGCCTTCCGACTGACAGTTGGTGTTTGGGGATGCTTTCTGTCAGTCTTCTGCCTGGTTGTTGTAGTTTTTGCATTACGTGTTGCAGACGACCCCTGTCTTTCTCTTGTGGGGTTGTTGGGTCTTCGGTTTGCTCAGGATGTTTTGAAGGGCTTCTGTTGGCTTGTGTGCTACACTGATTCCACTTTGGTCCACAGGACCGCGGAAATGTCTTCGGACAGCGCTGGCTCACCGGCCTTGAAAGAGATGAGCACTGTGCCACTGCAGGGGCTCCTTTACCGTTACCAAATCTAAATCAGTGGAAAGTGTGATTTAAGATAAAACCGGCCCAGCGTTCCTAGTAGTGGATGTTTCTGACATTTCTGGTTTTCTAAAACAGGCATCCACAGTTCTGTCCAAGTCCACCCTCCAGAACCAAAACAAGAAAAGCAACACCCTCCCAACAGACTTCCATTACGATCCAGACAACCTCACTCAGCTGTTCCTCAAACCTCAGATCAGGGTAAGGTTTGCTTGTCCAGTGCGCGGCAGGGAGGCTGACAGCCTGCTACTCTGGCCAGAAGATGGGCTGAGAAAGTTTCCTCCCTGAGCCAGCATGCCTTAGTGCTTCAGTGGGCTTTCCATTAGTAGCGGCTTCTCGTGATTCTTTCAAGTTATTTTATTTCTCCAGCTCTCGAAGATGCTACTCCAGGGCCGTTCACCCAATCACGACGACGATGATGAAATCGGAGAATATGATTACAACAATCCCAACGATACCTCCAACTTCTGTCCCGCAGTGCAGGTGAGTTCTAACAACCAGGAGCCTGCTCTGTGTTTTGACTGCCGTCCTTTTTTTAATCTGGAAGCTATAAAAATGGGTTGCTGATAGCCGCAAGATGTGGGTTAGGATAGCTAATGAAACAACGGAGAATTGTAACGCCGATATCCGTCTTTGCCCCAAAATAAGACCAGGTCTTATATTCATTTTTGCTCGAAAAGACACCTTGGGGGCTTATTTTTCCAGTTAGGGCTTATTTTCAGGGAAATACGGTACTTAATGCGTCTGGCTGATGGTCTTAACTGGGGCTTATTTTGAGGGGTAGGGCTTATAATTACGAGCTTCCTGAAAAATCCCGCTGAAGGCTTTTAAAAGTCAGAACTCTTCCAACATTAATAAATAAATAAATAATATCTAACATATCTTGCACCTGAAGGCAGGACAAGAAGCAACGGATGGAAACTAATAAAGGAGGGAAGCTACCTGCAATTAAGGAGAAATTTGCTGATAATTAGAACAATTAATCAGTGAAATAGCTTGCCTTCAGAAGTTGTGGGTGCTCCATCACTGGAGGTTTTCAAGAAGGGATTGGATAACCCTTTGTCTAAAAGTGGTGTAGGGTTTCCTGCCTAGGCAGGGGGTTGGACTAGAAGACCTCCAAGGTGTCCCTTCCAACTCTGTTATTCTATTCTATACCTGTATTATTATTTTAGATCTCTTTGGCTGAGAAAGACACGGTGGAACTCTGAAGACTTAACTTGACTCCTGTTCATCCCCCCCCCCCTTTCTTTCTGTTTAGGACGTCGACAGCGATGATGACAACGAGCCTATAAACTTTATAGGCCAGGGAGGGATGTTTGAAATGACAGCGAATCCTATGGGTGGAGATGACCCAGATGGAGAACTTGATGGAAAGGTCAAAGGATTCAACATCTCCACCTATGGTGAAGCCAACATGGTAGCTGAGCCTCAAAAGGCAAGTATTAATGCATAGTCCCAAAACAGGGTCACCCCAAATTCCCAATTAGTATCTGAAAGTGCCGGGTTGGGAAAAGATGATATACAATGTGACTTGATGATGGACGGAAGATCTACCTGTGACTTACCCATCGTGCAGGTGAGGGTAAGCTGCAAATTGGTTAGAATGCAGTATCGCAGGCAAACTCTGGGGACCCAGAGTAAAATGGGGACCCAGATTGTTGGGAGCTGACTCTGTAAACTGCTTAGAGAGGGTTGTGAAGCAGTATATAAGTCTAAGTGCTATTGCTATTCCTTCCTTCCTTCCTTCCTTCCTTCCTTCCTTCCTTCCTTCCTTC